AATTTCAGAATTTTTGGACTTGATATGAGTAGTACGACAGCCTCATTTCCAGACCGTGTAAAACTGCCCAGAATGGGTATTTCGGTGATGTTCACATTTTCTTTATTTTATACAAGCTTTTCTGGGCCGATTTTGGAAAAGTTTCCTCCTTAAAAGTTGTTGAGAACTTCCTTTTCTATAACATATATAAATTTGGAAATTTTTCAAGATGATTTGGATTCTGGACAGAGCTTACTTTGAGAAACAAGAATTCTGTTCCAGCTAACTGTTTTTAGTCTGTATTTGAGCTACTAAAAATAAATGGTGTTTAAAGAGAGATTCAGATTTTTTGTTCTTCATAAAAAATGTTTGTTAAGGCCTTGTTTATGACATATTCAAATTTGAGAATTTTCTGAGTCCATTTACTATGTTTTCAAGTCCGATTTCGTGAACAGTGCAAAGCTGTCCGATTTTGTCAGATTTCAATGATTTATCAATTTCTATATGAGAACGTTGGAATTTTGACTTGATGTCTTCTAGTGATTTGAAGTACACTTTCTGACCTTTCAAATGAGACATGTTATGCTTTGATTAGAGGTCGGCCCAGGGGGAAACCGAGAGAGAGAAAAGAGAGAAGCAAGCTTGGAATTGGATGATTCTAGAGAAGTCAAAACTTGAAGCCCAATTTGGAAATGAATGGCCAAGAATGAAGCTTGTTCAAGAAGCCTAATTAATGACCTTAGACTTTAGAGGCCTCTTCATCATGACATGCCATTAATGAAGATAAGCTGAGTTGTCCCTTGCATTTAATGCCTCGGACACCAATTATTGCTAGAACCAAGAGGAGAGTTGGCCAAGGAAAATGGTAGCCGAGAGAGAGAGAGAAAAGCCGAGAGGGAGGGAGAGAGAGAGAGAGAGAGGGCCAATAATGGCATGGATAAGCTTGGCCCTTCATCATTATCTTTTGGCCTTAGTCATTAAGAGCATTTAATGCATGCCATCATAACATTTGACTTAGAGGCCCTCCATTATTGGTTTAGTTCTAGGGTTTTCTAGGAAGGTCCATGCCTTCTATAAATGGCATGACACTGTCGCGTCACCCTTTTTTTTTTTTTTGGGAGGCTTTCGGGATTTGCGCTAAGGAGGTATTTCCGTGTAAGGGTCTCTACCAGACCATACCTCACATGACAATGGAAGGTGATTTCTAAATTTGTGATTTTGGAGTCGCCACTAGTCATTATTGGTAGGTATATTAGAAACCTAATCGAGGTATGGGGGAAATACCACGATTCTACGAACCAGAGATTCTGAGTGCGGGGACTTAGTTACGTTATTGATCCCGAATCGAGATCCCTAACGCCCTTTCGATACCTAAGAACGATACGATGTCTAACGTTTTATGCGAATTTCCGAAGTTTACCCACTAATCCTATCCATTCTAATCGCAGGAAAAACCAAACAAGTATTAAACGCACAATCAAAGTCAATCAAATCAATCAATCCTAAGTGATCTCTAAAAACAAAAATCAATCAAAACACCCAAACCCTAATGAAGCTCTAGAAGCTTATTCATTTCATGATGTACATTTTTTAGGGTTTTAGGGTTTTTTAGGGGTTGTAACCCTTGAATTTGGGATTTTCTAAAAATGCCGTTTGGGCACTTCCAAAAATTCAAATCTCACTTTTTATGGCTGGCCACGGTGTTTTTAGACCATTCTGTGAATTTTTAAATTTTTTGAATATTTTGAATATTTTTTTCGAAAATTTTATTAACCGAGAATTAATTTTTTATGATTTTCTGCAAATTTTTATGAATTTTTCAATTTTTTATTGATTTTCCAAATTTTTTTACATTTTTTATTTGTATTTTCTGAATTTTCTGAATTTTTTTATGAATTTTCTGAAAATTCTGGAATTTTTACGAATTTTCTGACAATTTTTGAATTTTTATGAATTTTCTATTATTTATTATTTATTATTATTATTTTTGAATTTTCCCACCGGTTAGTAAATCGGGTCGGTCCGGTTCAACTCGGTTCGGCTTGGCCGAACCGGGCATCGCTGGCGCCGGCATCGATTACCTTCTCTGGTGGGCACGACGCCGAAACGGCGTCGTTTCTTCCCCCTGTTCATTAGGGCATTGTGCCGAACAGGTGGTGGGCATGGTTGAACACTTTTGAGGCCGTCGATTTGAGCTCGTCGCCGACGACCTTCCGGCAACTATTTCGCCATTCCTTTTGATCCTTCATCAAGTTCATATGTTCTAGTATTAATCTAGCCTGATCAGAGCACTGCCGGACGTTCGCCGGCCAGCGAAAAAATCGGTCAAAAAACCTAACTCGTCACTGACCTAATCATAGAATTTCTAGAACTATTAATCCTAATTCTAACAGCCCTAGCCGTCTAGATCGATCCCAATCAACAGAAAATCAACAAACAAAGTCGAGGGAGTCTAACTTTATGACATCCCGAATTTCGACCCGCTTGGAATTTATGAAGTGAGTGATATCTTTAACGCACTTGTAGTTGTACCTTGCCCAGAGCTGATCACTCTTGGGATACTTACCTTTAGGGTAAGGCTAAATAGGGATTTAAGTTCGCGAGACCAAAGAAATTCTATCATGGACTGACTTTTGACCATAAGGATTGTCGAGGTGATATTTTGGGCCAACATAGGTTGATCTAAGGATGGTCACGGATCGATTCGTCAATGTCATACGAATGGATCGTGGGTGATTCTGCTCGACCATGAGATGAATTACGAACGATCTTAAACCTATTCCGAACGATCACACCTCTCGGAACTAGTGATTAATCCTCGCAATTACATGACAACCGAAGTTGTCATGATTCGAGTGATCTTAAACGTGGTTCAACTTAGTGTCGACCACGGGTCAATTCGCGTATTGCCCAAGAGCCGCCCGTTAGTCAGAGATACGCTCAAGTCGCGTTGGTTCGATCTAACCACTAAATTGAATCCAAGTTTGGGGTTCCGAATTTCTTGAAAGTCATGACAGAGTAATTGGACGACATCGTTATTAACGTGGTCAGTCTCGGATTCGTCAGAAAAGTGAAATTTTGACAAGAAGTGGAAAATGACCGTTTTGCCCCTAGGACTTTGTGAAGACCAAGTGTAATATGAGAAGGGCATTTTGGTCATTTCATACCAACTTTAGAGATAAAAATTTTTGGACGATTTTGCCCCTGCACTTTTTGTGAAATTCCCGTTTTACCCTTGGATATTTTTGGTGAGAGTTGATCTTGGCCGTCGATTTTTGGATAAGATTGAATCGTGGCTGTCGGATGGAAAGTTAAGAGGAGGGTAGGATGGTAATTTTGGCTTGGGGTAGGTGCACCAATTATTGGTGCCACCTATTTAATTCTTTTCCTCTCTCTCTTCCTCTATCTCCCTCTCATTTTCTCACACCTACACCATCATCTTTTGCCCCTTGGCCGAACCACCTCACTCTCTCCCCCTTGGCCGTGTGATTGGCCGGAGCCGTGCCGGATCGCCGCTCGCTCGCCGTCCACCGTGCGTCCAATCGCCGGACTGCCGTGGCCGCTGCTTCCTTGCCGCCTTGCCGCCCTCTTGCTAGGTTGTTCTTACTTGGAATTTCCAAGTAAGTGACACCCTATTCCCTATTTAGGATATCGGGTATTGACGAGCTCGTTTAGGCACGATTTAGCGTAGTTTTGTGGGCTGTTTTGGATGAGGGTTATTATGGACAAAATTATGGTGATTTAGTGAGTAATTAGAAGCTCAATGAGGGCTGAGTATGGTTGATTCGAGTGCTGCAAAATTCAGTTAGGTGCGTAGGGTGTATAATTTGGCTCGACTCTTAATTGTATGAAATCGTGGTGCAGCGCCGTGCTTGTTGTGCCATGGTTTTTGTGATGAAAAATGGAATGTTATGTGATGGTTGTATGTATAGTACATGGGCTGAATTGAGATGGTTGAATTGGGTGCATTTGAGTGCATTTAATTAATGTTCGAGTATGTGAACGTGTGAGATTTGAGGCGTGTGATGTGCGTGTGATCACTAAAAAGCCCTAAGGTGTGTTTACGCGGGGTGCAGATAAAATATGGCGTGTTGGCATGTTCGTATGATCACTTAATCCCCGAAGCGTGTTTACGCGGGGAATTGAACCAACCTGAGGCGTGTTTATACGGGTCGTGATAGGAATGTGGAGCTCGAGGCGTGTTTACGCGGGCTGTGGAAAGAGATTGAGAGTGAGATGTGTGATGTGGCAAGTGAAAATGAGATTGGACCTGAGGCGTGTTTACGCGGGTCGTGACAGGAATGTGAAGCCTGAGCCGTGTTTACGCGGGCTGTGGAAAGAGATTGAGAGTGAGATGTGTGATGTGGCAAGTGAAAATGAGATCGGATCTGAGGCGTGTTTACGCGGGTCGTTGGCAAGTTTAATGAAAATGGTATGGTGGTGCATGAACAAGTGTGAAATACGGAGTTCGAAAATGCCATATGTTCGATATTTGCATTTGGGCATGAGATTAGTTTGGAAAATGCATATGGTTGAAATTTGTGGATTTGAGACTAACGTGCAGATTGTGTGTACTAAGAGCCCAGGTAAGTGCATTTGTGTATATGTTATATGTTTGTTAAGTGACATTGTGTTTGAACTTATCTGTAGGTACGTGATAGCCTAAGTGGGGTTTAGGCTGCCGACTTATTGAGATCTGTCTCATAGTTGTATAAATTAACATTTTTAGAACCCCGGCCTGGACCATGAATCCTCCGCCGCCACCGCCTCAGCGTTTTGGCATACCTATGCACACCGATCATGCAGTAGTAGAGTACCCTATAGATGACAATATGGCTTGGATTAAGTACACCACAGTAGTCTGGGTAGATATAGGACAACCCCTTTGGCAAGCCCATAGTTATACAGCCTGGTGCTTCCGAGAGGGTATGGACGAGTTCGGTCCGATTCGTGGTTTTGATGTCCCTTTCGATGGAGTGGGAGATTGGGATCCATCGGCTATACCTCCTCCTGCTGGTGAGATGACCAGCCTCGACACTAGCTTAGCACAGTTAGGTCTTCAGCCTGCACCTGCAGAACCCGAACCCACGGTGGCTGAGCCTGAACTGGAGCCGGAAGAGTCACAAGCAGGGTTTGATCCGACGGACATGGATTTAGGAGAAGAGCCTGAGGAGGAGCCCGAAGAAGAGGAGCCCGAAGAAAAACCTGAAGAAGAACCCGAGGAGGAACCGAAAGAAGAGCTAGAGGAAGAACCCGAGGAAGAACCGGAGGAAGAGCCGCCGATTGATGTTCCAGACGATTATGATGATGAGCCGATCGAGATTGAGGCGGATTCTAAGTCTTCAGAGGAGCATGTGGATCAGGGGGAGTCAGATTCAGGTTCTGGGGAGATCGACTCAGAGTGGACACCGTCTAGAGGACGTAGGGGTTAGTTAGGGGTAGGGTAACCCTTTTTGAAGTGCCCCATTTTTGGAGTTAGTATATACCCAGACTACTGATCCATTTTGATGTTGGTGGTGTGAACTTTAGAAGCCGATATGCGTGTATAATATGTTTATTGTAATTAGTGTGTAATGTTATAAGTTTGACTTGGTAATGAATGTGTATTCTTCCTATTACCCCTTTCCAAATATTGTCTGGGTGTATGTTTGCTTCCGCTAGTGCTTTATCTCTGTGTGAATGGGGTCAGCGACATCCTGGGACGTCGCAATATTCGACCGAAGAGGGATGTCGCGAGCTCGATGGGGTTCGGGGCGTGACAAACTTGGACGGCCTATGGCCGAAATGAAGCTCCGGCGAGGACCTCCGAGCTCCGGCGAGATGGCTCATAGGGGTGGCTGACTCGGTTTTATGCGTTTTTGATACCCAAAATGCAATCAATCAACACGAAAAATGATCAGAACATGCTTCAAGCAACTAGTATGATAAAATCGCAACGAAAAATGCACAAACAAATCAAAAGCATGTTTCTGGAAATCGGTGAAAACCGAGGTGATGAACGATCTTTACCTGCTTTCTTCGATGATCAGATAGCGTTTTTGAGCTAGTCCGCGACCGTAAAACTTTCCTTTGACACCTGAACTACCGATCTGTGGTTTCCACTTCGCCGGAAAGCTTCTAGACTCACTGGGAGAACTTGATCTTCAAGGCTTCACGATCAATTCTTTACTGATCAACAGAGGAGGAGGACCGCCTTGACTGTTCCGTTCATCGGGCGCCGTTCTATTCGTCGGCGCCGGACACTCGATCAGGGGACCTCAACTCCCTACTCTCTCTCTAGATTTCGCGTTGTTTCCCCCTTTTTCTCTCTCTTCTCTCTCTTTGGCCTTTTGTCGAGCAGGTCCCCTCCGCAATGTTCCATTTTTTCCTTTTCGTTCATCGATTTTTTCCGCCCAAATTTTGTTGGAACCGATCTTCGATCGGTTCGATCGGTTACCTGGTGCCAGCTGGAGAATATCCAGCTGGCCAACTCGATTAAAACGTGCTAATTTGATCGGAGAAGGTCGGCCAAGTCATGGGCACGAGTTGATTTTCCTGGGTTTATTGTGCATTCTAGGCAAACCGGGTGAAGAAGACGGATCTTCGGGTCGGGTCGGGTTGACCCGGTCAACCCGGTAGGCCCGATTTTAACCAAAAGTTCAAATTAACCTCAATTTTGACCAAACTTTCGGAATTAAATCCCAAAATTGAATTCCTCATCATATTCCGAACCCAAATATGTGATTTTTCCCAATTTTTGTTATAATTGTGTCCAACATTTTCACATTTTTGTATACGGGTTAATAAGGTTTCGTTCAATTTGATGTCCTAATGACCCGATTAGCTGAAATTGATGCCAAAATTGAATTACCCACACCTGATTAACCATAGAAATGATAATCTCATGGTTCGACAATTTCATATTGGGCACGATTCCCAATTTGGGTTCAAAATTCTTATTTTTTCAATTAAATTTTGGGGATTTTTGATTTTTATGTCAAATTGTGCAATTGGACCAACCATTATGCAATTCAAGGTCCCAGAATCATTTGTTGTGGAGACACTATGACTTAAAAATGACTAGAAAAAATTTCATTGCATAAGGATTGAGATTTTTGCCCAATTTTGGGAAAAACATATATCCGATTGAGATTTTTCAAAATTGATGATGTATTCATGAAATTGGATTTAAAATAAGACTAATGTCTATTTTTATGGAATTTTCTGATTCCATTTGCTATTTTTCTTGATTTTCTCACCTATTTTGACTAAAAGAAATTAAAGAAAAATGCTAAAAAATTATTTTTTGGTTTAGAAATAGGTTTCTAGGCTTGGCCAAGATTCCTAGTCCTAATTTGGAAATTTTTGAAAATATGAAAAAAATTTGCTAAAAATTAGGTGTCGACAGCTGCCCCTCTTTGAGATTGAGCTCGTTAGAGGTTGATATGAAAGACAAGGTGACACCTGAATTTTTAGTCGACTCACTGAACAAGATAAGATGGAAATTTCACAACAACTGATTAGGGTCTTGCTTTTGAAATCCGTGATCTAATCCAAAGGTTCTCTTTTCGGAACACATTTTGAAAGGTTCTTAATGATTGAGGGAGAGAAACTTACCTGTTTGTGAGCGTCTCTTTATTGCTTATCCAAGGGCATGAATTGATGGTGGTGATGCTTATGATGATTATTCATATTTTGTGGTTTAAAGACGAACTCACGAACCATGAATGCCTAAGGCTCTTCGCCTGAGGATTTAAAGACTTGCCAAGTGGTTCCTCACCCGTAAGATTTTGGAAATTACCTAGAGGCTCCTTGCCTGTAGGACTTTGGATTTGCCTAGTGGTTCCTCACCAGTAGGACTTGAATTTGCCTAGGGGTTTCTCGCCTGTAAGACTTCGAATTTTGGAGACTTGCCAAGTGGTTCCTCACCAGTAGTATTTTGGAAATTACCTAGGGACTCCTTGCCTGTAGGACTTTGAATTTTCCTAGGGGCTCCTTACCTGTAGGACTTTGAATTTTCCTAGGGGCTCCTTGCCTGTAGGACTTTGAATTTGCCTAGGGGCTCCTCGCCTGTAAGACTTTAGATTTGCCTAGTGGCTCCTCGCTTGTAGGACTTTGGATTTGCCTAGAGGCTTCTCGCCTGTAGGACTTTGAATTTGTCTAGGGGCTCCTCGCTTGTAGGACTTTGAATTTGCCTAGGGGTTCCTCACCTGTAGGACTTTGGATTTGCCTAGTGGTTCCTCACAAGTAGGACTTTGAATTTGCCTAGGGGCTCCTCGCCTGTAGGACTTTGAATTTGCCTAGGGGTTCCTCACCAGTAGGACTTTGAATTTGCCTAGGGGCTCCTCGCCTGTAGGACTTTGGATTTGCCTAGTGGTTCCTCACCAGTAGGACTTGAATTTGCCTAATGGTTCCTCACCAGTAGGATTTTGAATTTGCCTAGGGGCTCCTCGCCTGTAGGACTTTGGGAAGACTTCAAACAATGAATGTCATGACCGTGAGTTATGTGATTTTTAGGTTTCACTAACCTTTGTATGGTTTTTTTAGTTGACCAAAAACTATTTTGAAAACTAGTTTTGAAAGTAATCAAAACTGTTTAAAATGTAGTTTTTTTTAGCTTACCACAAACTGTTTGAAATTTTGATTTTAAGTTGACCAAAAACATTTGAAACCTGGTTTTGAAATATGCATTTTTTGTATTAAATGCATTTCAGGCAATCAAATTTCATTTTCAAGGAATTATTTGAACAAAATGCTTGCAATCTTTCAAGAAATGCTTGAAATGATCCTTTGGAAGACCTTCGTTAGAAAGCATTTGTTTCGATCTATAAACTTGGTCTTTTCTTCATCTGATTGAAAGGGGACTTGTCTGATATCCCTCAATTTTTTTCTCTCTTAACCAATCCTTAGGTGTTCGGAGATGTCTGCAATGTATATAATCCAATTAATCCGATAATGTCTTTCGGAGGACTGTAATGTTGGCTTGGTCAATGGCTATTCAAAGGATAGGCATTCTAAGGCCAAGAAAAAGGATTTCATCATATCTGACTTCGGGTCTACAAGTTAAGAACCTCGAGGATAAGACAAGATATTATTGCATACACTTCTTTGAGTGATGACTTCTTGTCATAAAGTCATGTTTCTACTCTCAACATCCCAATCTGAAGAGTCTTTGGAGAGAGGTTGTATTGTTGATATTGGGTAGGCTCAAAAGGCTCATTTGTTTGAATTCAGGGTTTTTATGAAATTGATGATCTTCTTGGCACACCACTTTTCTTTTCTTCTTTTTTCACTAGAGATCTTTTCCTCTATGAACATCAGAGTCCTCTAAACATTCATCACAATCTCGTTCTTTTGCTCATTCTCACTTGTTGTGATCTATGATCTCTCATGATCTTGACTTTGCTTTGTCATGACTTTTTTGTCATTTTGAGCTTTCTTTTGCACTCTCTTTTCTTTCTCATTTTTCTCGGGCATTTGGCCTTGCTTTTACCAGGCACACTGCTTTTTCATGCCCCAGACTCTTTTGTCTTTGATCTTTTTGAATTCTAAGGACTCTGTGTTCTGCCCTTTTGTTTCTTATCTATTAAAGTGGATCATATGCTCATGCTCCAGTATGAAGAGATGATCACCAATTTGGAGTTCTGAAATGAATATTTAGGCTCAATTGGGCTTTGTCAAAGGTAATGTGTTTAGGCATAAGAAATGAAACGCTCTTCTTCCTCTTGGGGTGTCTTGAGCTTCCATATGACTTCATTTGAAGTTATCATAGAAAGATTGATGCAAGAGTATGCAATAAAATCGTTCTTGATCCTATTCTCCATAGCTGTTAATCCATAAACCTCCTGATTTGCCCCAATGTGGGGTGGTTCTTAACAGGGTTGTTTTGGGAAAACTATTTTGGCTCAAATTTGGTTTGCAAGGGATAAGCATGTGTTTGGGATAGTGAAATGATTGCCTTTCATCATTTCAATCCATGTAATCATTGCGAACATCCCCTACTTCCTTCGGATGAGTTTTTCTCACTCACCTCTCCATTTTGGCTTTGAGTGTATAAGGGACGTGTTTGGATATGGCTTACCTTTCATCATTTGAAGGTCTTTCCATTTGATTTGATCCAAACTTTTTCTATGAAATTTTTCGAACCCTTTTGTCAAATTATCCCTTTTAGGGAATTTTGATGCTTAGTGTATTCTCAAAGAAAGCGTGTTTCAAAACATTTCTGAGGTATTTTCCTTTTCAAAACAATCTGTTTTGTTTTGTTCAATTTAGTGTCATTCCGCTTGGGGAAAAAAAGTTCGTTTTTCTCTTAAAAATGCAACTTCTTTTACACATGCTCTCACGATTTGGCGATACATGTCTGATCAACTTACCAAGATCCCTCTTGTTTGCATGTTTTTGCTTTGGTTACACTGGGGATTCTTCTGTTGTTGCTCCCTTTTCTTTGTCTCTC